TGGCTGATTAGACATTCACTTAAATGAGCAGTTGAACAGTGGCCGATAAGTGTATATGCCCATACACACACACTGGCGGTCAAAAGTTTGGAATAATTAAGATTAAAACTAAAGACTGAAGAAATGGCTGATGAAAATTCAGCTTTGCCATCACAGGAGTAAATTACATTTTAAAATATATTAAAATAGAAAACAGTTATTTTGAAATGAAGTATATTATGGGACTTTGTGCAGAAAATTGTCTAGCTGTCATTATATTTTAGAAAAGAGGTCCTTAAGACCATACTTTTTAGGGGTCCTTGGCATCAAAGTTTAAGAACCCTGTCATATAGATTATGAGGGTGGGTGCTTTTGACCTTCATAACGCCATGCACCCTGGTATCGTGGCTGCAAGTTTTGCATAATGCAAATATCTAGTATTTTTAATTCCTCAGCAGACACCCAGTATCTTTCTCTCTGAACTTGATGCCTGAAGTGGCTGTTGAAAATGGTTGGATATGGCTGCTATTCCTGTTATGACTATTCAAATATTTGCAATGCATAATGCGGGGATATTTTTCGGGGATAGCAGTGATTCAGCTGTTTCTGTGGCCAGACGTCTTCTGTGGTAAACATTTACACTGAGAGATAGTGAAGAGAGAGGTGGAGGCCTGTGATAAAAGATGTACGTCAGCACAGAGAAATAAATCCCGCTTTTTAAGAGCTGAGGAGAAAGGAGGAATTATCTGTGCGTGTGTGTGTGTGTGTGTGTGTGTGTGTTTAACACGTGAACTGTGTGTGACTGGCATGTGGACAGTCAGGGCTAGAGATGCTCAGGTTCCTAATGACCACACACACACACACATTTGCAGTATCTCTGGGTAAAGCTCATGCGCATGGAGGAGCATTTGAAGACCTGAGCCTTTTGATTGGCCGGGGGAGGATGCAAGAAAAGGGGCCTTGCTCCGCCCCCGTCCCCCCTCCTGCACGCGCGTGTTAGAAAGGAGATAGCTTGAGGAGAGCAGACAGCTTCACTGCGCCGAGAGCCGAACACACACTAATGCTGCATACTCCTTTCTCCAGCTGAAGAACCCAAAACAAACCCTCGTTCTGCATCCGCTGCAGATTAAGTGATGTTTAAGAGCACTCTCTGCTCTGAGTTCAACCCAGCGTCCGCAGTCTTAGCACCACAGCATCCTCTCCACTCGACCCGGCTGTAAGCATGGGCAGGCAGAGCCACGATGCCACCTCCACCGCGGGCACGGGTGCGGGCAGCGGCGGGCGCATGCAACGCTCCCAGAGCCGCATGAGTCTGTCAGCCTCGTTCGAAGCGCTGGCCGTCTACTTCCCCTGCATGAATTCTTTCGATGAGGAAGACGGAGGTAAGAGGATGAAGATGTGTCACATGTGGAGATATTAAGTATTTAGGTCTGAATGGGAATCTTGCATGTCAAAGATCATGTGTTTTGCAGAATATTTGGTGTTATGTGAGAGCACACCAACTCTTTTTCCTTTCACATTTTATTGAGTTTGTGATTATTTATGTGTAGCTGGTTTCTGGTGGAGTTTAAATAAATAATCAGCAGAATCATGCATCGCTGTCAGTAAAATGCAGTTATGCATGTGCACTATTTAGTGCAATAAAATGATACTGCAATCTTTTGATGGTTTTGGTGGGACTCAAGCATCATCTTGTGTTTTGACCTTGAAGGTGCTTGATTGGCTTTCTCTACAGCATCTCTCGCTCTCTCTCTCTCTGTCTCTCAGTCTCTCTCTCTCTCTCTCTCTCTCTCTCTCTCTCTCTCTCTCTCTCTCTCTCTCTCTCTCTCTCTTCTCCCCCTTCAGTCGCTATAGAGATTAATATCATAGGAAATATCATATGACTTAATATCTCATGGAACAAATACCTTTTGGCTTTTGTATGATTTAATGTGATATGATATCTCTTCAATCCATTAAAATATTAATTACTGGGTGAATCTCATGAGAGCAGGTCACATCTCACCCCAATTTGTTTTGCATAAAGCCTATAAGCCTATCGTGTTATTTTCATTACAATTATGCACATTTCTATTATTTCTTTAAGCGGCATAAATTAAATGCATTACAACATAAATACTATCAGAATGTAAACACTTTATAAATTAATATGGTTATTTTAATTTATTTAATTTATCAATGTTGTATTTTTTTTAGTTAGTTAGCTATTTTATTTGTATTTCGTTCATTTATAATAATGACAGTTTTGGAAGAAATGTGCTTAATTGTCATGAAGATAATGTCACAAAGCAAAATATTGCAGGTCCTAAAAAAAGGCTTTATTTTCTTATTTCTTTCTTTTGATTTGGGTTGAAATATGACCTGAACATCTTCTTGATCATTTCATAGAGCTTTTCAAGACATGATCAGAGAACATGTCATGATTTAATCTTAAAGGGATAGTTCAATTTATAATAATTAATTTTTTTTGTCATTTTACTCACCCTCAAGTGTAAAAAATCTTTTTAAAATTGACGGTAGCCATTGACTTCCATAGTAGGGGGGAAAAATACTATGGGAGTAAATGGGGCCCATCAACTGTCGGCTTACCAACATTCTTCAAAATATCTTCTTTTCTGTCCAACAGAAAAAAGAAACTCATACAGATTTGGAACGACATGGGGGTTTTATGCAGAATTTTATTTTGGGGGGAAATTTGATGTTTTCTGACATTGTGCATCATTGTGACTTTCACACAGCAATCCCGGTAAATTACCGTAAAATTGCCAGAATGACTTTACCGGTTAATACACAAATATGCTGTTCACACAAGCTTTTTACCTGTAAGAGACCATTCACACATCAGCTCCAAAATACTGTTAAATTCCAAGTCAACTTTAAACGCCGCACCGTTGTCTTCATCCACCCGCATGAGGAGAAGCGTTTTAGTTTCACTCTGTTCAATTTGGCAAAATTTTTGACATCTGAGTGAAAGGTATAAAGGGATGATCAAACGGAATGTGTTTTTGCCCTTAAAAACACGAGACGCGCATAATGGTATCCAACTGCAGAGCTGCAACGCTGATGAATGGAGAAGAAGGCCGGGTCTCGAGTGCGGCGCGTTGAAAAAGCTGCGAGATGTGGCAAAACGATCAAGGATGATCATCTAGTGCATATTTACATAGAAAAACTATTAAAAATCTTACTGTAAACAGCGCTAAGTCATCACTTCATCTCCATCAGAACTTTATGATTGGCCCAAAGCTTCTTATGTCAGCGCGACTTTCTACGTGATCATACCGGTAATCTTCATTCCACGTTCACATAGAGCACATTACCGGTAATTTACTGGTAATTTTACAACTTCCCTTACTGGTAAATTGCCGGAACCAATTTACCGGTATTTTTGAAAAGGTCCTGTTCACACATGCTCTCTTAAAGACTGTATGTGTGAAAGGGGCTAGTGTTTTCTTGTGGTCAAGTTCAACAAGACCACAACTGTTACAAGTTCTCGATTATTATATACTGTACAACTGTGCTGTTAGCACAGAAAAGGACAGCCACATCCGCCGATATATTCGTCATCCTCCTGTGTTCAGCTACGTCTCAGGGCCGACAGCAGAGGCGGATGACATTGAATGAAATGAAAATCAAGCCTGCGTGTGTGTGTGTGTGTGTGTGTGTGACCAGCGATTGAATGGTTGAATCTCAGCAGCTCAGCCGTGTCTGCTTCCCGTAGCCTTCTCTCTCACCTATTGAAGATGGGTTTTGCATTCTGAGTAGCCCTCACATTACTGTCCTCTTAATTTTTTCATTTCTATTTGCCAACAAAAGAACAGGATGTGCATTCATTTTGTACTTGAAGTTAAAGCCAAGAGAAGACTTGTTTTACAGTGATTGTAGCCTCAAATGTCTTATTGCCAACAGCAATATGATTAATAAAGGAAGAGTTGTGCAATGAATCATAGTAATTGGAATAAACTACTGTTTTGTTTTTTCATTCCTCTAACTGTAGACCGAGTGGCAGGCAACATTGCAACTTAGTGCATTGTTATAGAATATGTGGTGTGTGTGTGCAATTTCTACTTCTACATACATTACATTTACATTTATTCATTTAGCTGACGCTTTTATCCAAAGCGACTTACAATACATACACAATTTTTGTTATAGTTAGATATATCTCTACTGGGTTTAAAACAGCCTTATAAAATATAAAATGCAAACATGATACAAAAGGTTTTCCTTCTTTTTTTGTTATGGTAACAACAACCCTTGTTAGCTTACCTTGGGAAACTTTTGAATAAAGTTAAAATGTGTAACATCTGCTCCACTAGCAGCACCAGAGAGAAATAATGAACGTTTCCAGACAAGTTTCCCAAACTCTCCTTCCACCTCGTCTACCATTGTGCGCCAAACAGGTAGTCCCACTTCAAAATGACATCATCGATTGAACTGAAATGCCACTTTAACCTGTTTATGAAAGTGCCAGAGTGTTTACAATCCTCAGGAAGTCAGTCTCAGAAGGCTTACCTGTACTCTCTTCATAAAGAAGAGAGTATTTTGACATTGAAAACGTACAGTATTATATTCAAGACATGCATTATTGCATTTAACATGCACTGCTCCCGTCTTTATGCTTTATGATAAGTGTTCAGCTGACACAGGTTGAGGTGTTTGTTCATGTCAGGCTTAATTCTGGTCCAGTGCACCTGTATAACCCGTCGTGCTAAATCACACTGCGTCTCGTGTAACAGACACTAGGGCATGTCTGTAGGCCAGATATAGAAACATAAAAAAGCGCTGTATGTATCTAAAACAGGAAATTGTTGAGTGGGAGCAGAACCACATGTGCCTAACTCTTCATTTCACACCCTCTAGATCAACAGCACATCAGCTGTCACATCTGAGCCACGTGTGAGGCTTTTGGCTTTCAATGCGCAGAAACGTGTCCTTCATCGCTCCGCCTGAAACGTCTTGATATCCTGATTTGATTGACAAATTCTCTTTCTCTCTCTCTCTCTCTCTTTCTGTCTCTGTAGAAGCAGGAGGAAAGAAGCTGCGCAGCACTATCCAGAGGAGCACAGAGACGGGTCTGGCCGTAGAGATGCGAAGCCGAATGACCCGACAGGCCAGCCGCGAATCCACTGACGGCAGCATGAACAGCTACAGCTCTGAGGGAAAGTGAGTAACAAAACACACATGCACGCAACCATTCTGACAAGCATGACAGTGTGTATACTGTATATATTAGTGGCCTATGAATATGTGAATGTTTATGTATATATGCATGTTTTAAAATGTTAAAATATAGACCAAAACAAATCATCCGATCAAGTAATTTTCTAATCAAAACCTTTTTCTTTCTTCTCCAGCCTCATATTCCCTGGAGTGAGACTCTCTTCTGACAGTCAGTTCAGTGACTTCCTGGATGGACTTGGCCCCGCCCAGCTTGTGGGCAGACAGACGTTAGCCACGCCCCCTATGGGTGAGCACTTGTTTATTTGACTTTCTGTATACTTTGCTATTGTGCTTGTGTCTCCAGTCAAACTCAGTTCCCCAGTAATATTAATCATGTGTAACTCATATATCCTTGATTTTTCTCATGTCTAGGTGACATTCAGATTGGGATGGTGGAAAAGAAAGGAGCCCTAGAGGTAGAGGTCATCCGAGCCAGAGGCCTTGTGGGAAAATCAAGCTCTAAGGCACTGCCAGGTGAGTGTGCTTCTGCTTTCTAAAGGTGATTTCACGGGCACTTGAAAACTCATCGCTCACGATTAAACTCCATCTGTTGTTGTTCGTCTCCAGCCCCTTATGTAAAGGTGTATCTACTGGAGAATGGAGCCTGCATAGCCAAAAAGAAAACAAAAGTAGCACGAAAAACACTGGACCCTCTTTACCAGCAGCAGCTGCCGTTTGAGGAGAGCCCAGGAGGAAAGGTTTTACAGGTATTATGTCATCACTAATGGTTTAATTTACCAGTTGTTTGGCCAAGTGTGCATACATAAAGCCACCTCTCAGAACTAAACTAAGTTATTTTTCGCTGCTTATTGCGCTTAAACAGTCAAATACAAAATATAATGTCAAAATGCCGGTCTTGGCGAGTATTCGCGTAACACAGTCAGTTATGTTTCAAGTGAACAAAAACAGTCTTAAAGTGACAGCAGCCTAATATACCTGCTGCCAAATTATGAGATAATTAAAAAAATATCTAAATGGCAATTTTTCCCCATGGTATCGATGTCAAAATTGTGGCCAGTAAAAATACTGGGTGGCTAGTAACTTTGGAAAACCACTAACCACAGTGGCTGGTGAGCAAAAAAAAAAGTTTATGTCAAGCCCTGTATATATACAGTATATATAATTAATTGCGATTGAAATTAATATTTATTATTATTATTATATATGTTTATATATGTGTATAGCGATGCAATATATAATGCAGTTTAATGATTGAATAAAGTATATGAGAAAATAAGAGAAAACAATAAAATACAGAGTTTACACATAATTACACAATAAAACACATTTTTTCCATGATATCTTAGACATCTATTCATATTTTTTTATTATGAGACCTGGCCTCAGTCTATTCATTAATTCTTAATTCTCTTCCCATCGTAGATCATTGTGTGGGGAGACTATGGACGAATGGACCACAAATCCTTCATGGGAGCCGCTCAGATACTTTTAGATGATCTGGACTTGTCCAACATGGTTATTGGCTGGTTCAAACTGTTTCCTCCCTCTTCATTGGTCGACCCAACCTTGGCCCCGTTGACCAGAAGAGCTTCCCAGTCATCTCTCGACAGCGGGTCCGGGCCGTTCGGTCGCTCGTAGCAGTTTTCTGAAATATAGCGTTACTGTAGCAGCCAATGGGTGGAGTTTGAGAATTGCGACAGGTCCTTCCCCCCGGTAACACTGCATGCTTGATGTTGTGTGTTCAGAGCTTGTTTCTTAGGGGTGAAAAAAGCGGTCCTGTTTTTGCTCGCAAAAAAAATGCCGCACACACCGTGCGCAAAGAGCACCCCCTAGAGGGTAGGGACGAGACGAAGCTGGAAATGGGCTCCTGAGCTCATGGAACGTCACAATTCTTGATTTTAGAACCTATTTGAAGCCATTGGAGTTGAGCCTGAACTGAGAAGCGAAATGTTGAGTACTTCAGAAGCCCTTTTTGAAATGGGCCCTTTCATTTTCCATTTATGTTTCTTTTAATGTTGATGTATTTGTATCTACATGGGCTAACAGTGTTCCTTGGGTCAAGCCATGCCAACAGACCCAGAAATGTACACACAAAACAAGAATATGACGCGGGAATGGTCACCTCACTTCCCAGATAAGATTCTGCTAGATCAATACAGAGATGACATGTAGGTTTGAATCATCTTTTAAGATCAAATTGAATTTCTTCTCTTGATACTGTATGAAACCTAAAGAAGAAATAACAAGTTTTTTGTTGCATGGACACAACTTTAGCTGAACTTAAAAAAAAAAAAAAAAGTAAAAAAAAGTAAATAGAAAATAAATCAATTTCTCAGACTGCTACTTGCAAAAAAAAAAAAAAAGATGATGAGGAAAAAAGAAAAAACAAACCGGATCAGCCATTTTCAACCATTTCTATTATTTCTAAAGATAAATTTCACTAGTGCATGGTTTTCATGGGGAGTGAATGCTACAGTGTGATTTGAAGAAGAAAAAAAAAAACATGAAACCTTGTTTTTTTGTCCTGTAGACCGTTCATTGGTCTCTCTACTGTATTTTTAAAGACAAGCAGTTAAATGACAAGCTAAACATTTGATTTACAGTGAAAAATCTGTTCATGTGACAAAGACGTAAAAAATAAATGTCTGATTTATTATTGTAAAGGCGTAAGCCTTATGAAGCTAAAGATGATGTGCAAATTGTACATGTTTCTCTACTTCTCCCCTGTCCCAGGGTAAACTCTCTGTACTTCTTGCTTCCGTTGTCAGATTTCCACCCCGATATTGTTCCAGTTCTTTTTCTTTTGAATTTTCAGGGCTGTTCGTTTCTTCAGCTCTTCTAGTTTTAGTCTGTATTGTTTGAAGTTCATTCGTTTAACAAGCATGTTGAAAAGGGTTTTTGGCAACATGGCTTGGGCACATCTTACAGTAACTCAGCATGTTTTGATAAAGACGATATTTGGAGAAAAAAATGCAGTTTCTTGTACAGTGCATGTCGACAACGATCCCCTCCCCCCCTTCACCCTGAATTGAATTTTCGTGAAAATTAGGCAGTGGTCATCTCACGCTGACCAGAAGGGCAAAATTCCGAATGAACATTCCACCTTGTAAAATCATACTTTGTTGACAAATTTAAGGGAAAATGTGACCAGGGATTTTTATATCTTTACGGAAATACGAGCTGCAGCATTCCTGACAAAAGAGCCCAAAATTTCCGAGATCTTTTTACCGGAGGCGGCTGCAGCTCACTGACTTTCGCAGTATTGTGCTGTACAGTTTTCCGAGCATGATGCTGTCTGCAGAGAAATGCACATCGGGACGATGATATTGCCACACGATGATATACCTTTGGTTTTTATTTCTTCGTTTCAAGAAAGTAGAAGTCATTTAATATATTTTTGTTAGTTTATTTACAAGCCAAGACCTATTTATTTTTTATTTTCTATTTTTTAGTAATAATCAGAGCTTCTTATATCTGAGCAGTTTATGACTCCTAGTTTCAATGCCTGAATGGAAATAATATGCACTGGGACATTATACCTCTTCCTATGAAAATGAAATCTACATTTTTCTGATTTAAAAAAAAAAGAAGTATTTATCAAGCTTTCAGTCTACTTTTGATTTCAGTGTACGTCTTTCACAATCTACAGATTTTAAAAGAGATCTCTATTAAAGCAAACTCTAAATGTATGGAAGTGGGATAATGTCTCATGATGTCAAGGGTATGTTCTATTCTATTTCAAATGCCTTCTCTATTGTTTTTTCTTTTTCTTTTCTTTTTTTTTTTTGGTGCAATGTGTTCATGCCAAGGCTATGTCTTGGTCAAGTATGGTTGAGTACAGAGATTTATGTAAGTTATTTTTCAAATTAAAAAATAAAAAATGGATATTGAGCAAGGAAAATGAGCGTTCACAAACAAAAGCAGCAAGTCTCTATTTATAGTGTTTCCTGACGTGACATGAAAACACAGATATATTTATATATGGCATAAATGGCAATGTACATTGTATTCAATTCAAATTTATTTGTATAGCGCTTTTCACAATACATATCGTTTCAAAGCAGCTTTATAGAAAATGCATGTGTCTACATTACAATTTAGAAAACACATAGAGTGATCTGTTATCAGAGGTGACTGTGTCCAAGTTATGTATTTCAGAAATGCACATATAAAAATCACGCAGTTTGCTAACATGTATACATTTTAGGCAGAAACAATGAGCTCATTGAAGTAATTATTACAAGTTGTGAACATAATGATTATAATATATAGAAATATTTAGTTGATTCAGAGTTCATCTGAAGTCCTGGCCGGAGTTAGAGTCGTCTCTTCACAGGTGTTGGGTCATCTGAAGTCCTGGCCGGAGTTAGAGTCGTCTCTTCACAGGTGTTGGGTCATCTGAAGTCCTGGCCGGAGTTAGAGTCGTCTCTTCACAGGTGTTGGGTCATCTGAAGTCCTGGCCGGAGTTAGAGTCGTCTCTTCACAGGTGTTGGGTCATCTGAAGTCCTGGCCGGAGTTAGAGTCGTCTCTTCACAGGTGTTGGGTCATCTGAAGTCCTGGCCGGAGTTAGAGTCGTCTCTTCACAGGTGTTGGGTCATCTGAAGTCCTGGCCGGAGTTAGAGTCGTCTCTTCACAGGTGTTGGGTCATCTGAAGTCCTGGCCGGAGTTAGAGTCGTCTCTTCACAGGTGTTGGGTCATCTGAAGTCCTGGCCGGAGTTAGAGTCGTCTCTTCACAGGTGTTGGGTCATCTGAAGTCCTGGCCGGAGTTAGAGTCGTCTCTTCACAGGTGTTGGGTCATCTGAAGTCTTCGTAAGAGGCTGGATCCAAACTGGAGCTGACATACTATAGTTACCTCGGGATTGGCATCCAATGATAAAACAGAAAAGCAAATGGAAATTAATTAGTGAAGCTGCTGTTCATAACATTTCAAGCAAAGGTAATCATGTGCATTTGATCTGATATAACTGGAGTACAAGGTTATGAGATGAATTATGTAAATGCTTGGCTAAAGAGATGCATATTTTAGTCTATTTAAATGTAAAAAAACGCTCTATATATTTATAATACAGCAAAGACAGTAATATTATGAAATATTTTTTTTTAACTTTTTTAAAATAACTGTTTTCTATTTGAATATACTTTTAAATTAATTCATTCCTGTAATGCCAAGTTGATATTTCAGCATCATTACTCCAGTCTTCAGTGTCACATGATCCTTAAAAAATGCTGATTTACTACTCAAAACATTTTTTTATTATTATCAATGTTGAAAACAGTCGTGTACAATTTTGTTCAGGATTCTTTGATAAATAGAAACTTCAAAAGAACAGCATTTATCAGAAATAAGGAACTTTTTTTTTAAATAAATTAATACTAATCATAATTAATACTGAATAATAAGAAATACTTAATAAATAAAACAAGCATTATTATTATTATTATAAGTTATTCATTTATTATATCATATAGTATAATTTTGTCCTATAGGTCCTGTTTTTTTAAAGCTGCACCCCCAGGTTGTATGTACATTTGCTTCGAAAGCAAGCATAGCTTTCCAAATACAACAGAATTATGTTGGGGTTTTTTTTGTCATAGAACATATTAATCACAAGGTGTTTTTTTGTCAGCGCTATTCTGTGGTTATGAGTAAGTGCTGAGATGATGGCTAAAAAGGAAGTGAACAACGGGGATAAAACAGCTTCCTCCTGCTTTGACAGATAAATGCTGGACTGCCACAACACAATCATGAGCTGATACGATTCCAGACAAATAAAAGGTAAGGTCAAATAAATTATCTTACTGTAAAATCAAATCTGAGTATTTTTTATGTCATCTATAAGAGAGAATAAATTGTACTAATAGATTTATTGTTGCTTCAGTCAACATTATATCAAATTTCAATATCAGTAGAATAAAACCTCAAGCAAGCTACACTGATAAAAAACTGTTTTGAGCTATTTATTGCAATCAACCATCTTCTTGTCATATTATGTATGTGTCTGAACCACAATGTGTCCAAATATAACGGTATATCTATTGTTTTATCATTTAAAACCTGATAAACTTTCTAAAAGGTATTACAAGAAAAGTATGTTTGTGCAACTGTATTTTAACTAAATTTGATATTTTGTTATCTAATGCAATGATATTCACATTTTTAAGTTTGGCTTAAATGTCTAAATATGTTTTGGAGCCCAATCAAAATAATGCAGACATTGTAGACTCATTAACCATTTCATGTAGTGATGAAAGCCATCATCATTTCCAATTTCAAAATCTCTGTTCCTGTTATTTCAGGTTAGTGAGACAATGATGATTCAAACTAAATTTGATCAGCTTGCAGAAAGAGTACGATGGGTCTGGTCCAGAATATATGCTCTCTACACGAACAACACGAAAAGCTGGAACGAAAAACCTCTCCTCTTGTTGAGCTGCTTCACCACCAGCCTCATTCTGAGCACCTTCCTCTTCCTCATCCTTCACTTTTCCTTCAAATGTGTTCAGGAGGTCTCGGTTTCCCTCACTTGTGTTTTTTGTATAAGCTTAACACCAGCGATGTATTTCTCAGAAAGGATCCGTTGTTTCGGAGCCCTGGTTTTGATCTCGATGGGTATGAAGCAAGTGAAGAGTCTTCTTCTCACATTAGGAACCAGTTCAGTGATTTTCTTCAACATCCAGAACACGTTACAGAACATGAGACTGCTTGCAAAAG